GTTGGATGGCATTTGGAGTCAGGCACCTGTGTTCCTTGAATTCCAAGCCTTGATTTGGGGCAATCAATTTGCTTGTCTAGTCGTGTTTTTTATAATGTGACCATTTTGTTGTGGATGAAAGATGGGCTTTGCTAGTTGGAAGTGGTGGTTAGGCCCAGCAGGTGAGAATGTTACAAATATAGTATTCTAAGCTCGTCCTGGACTCGGTTTTAGGCTATTAGGGTTTTAGGCCCAAAAATCCAGGCCTACAAAGTATATTGGACTGGTCCGGCGACAAACACCCCACTGCGGCAGCTTATTAATAATGTTAATCATGATGGAGTTAATGTCATTTTCAATTTAATAATGACCTGTAATTTTGTCCGCCAACATGAAAACAAAAGCTGTTGCTAGGTTTGAAATTCTAGTTTTGTTCAATAACAGGTGTAGAACGAAGACTGTCCCAGGTCGAGAGCACGTGGATTGTTTGGGTAGCAGAAGTACTCTATTCTGCTGTGGGCCTGTTTACCAGAACCCTCCACCTCTGGCCTTCTGTTCCTTTATTGTGCGAGATAACTCTTTGTCCATTAAAGTCCACGCAAATATATGAATTTCTTTTAAAGAGTTTGATGTTTCTGCGGTCGAATTTATATACATGTGAGGAAGACTTGTGTTTGGAGGCATTAGGTGTAGAAGGGATTGGGCATTACATTATTGCAGATAAGAGTGGTGGACGTTTGCAAATGCTGATAACCAGAGTTGAATATGAGAGTTGATCGTGAATGAACAAGATAGGACGTACTACTTGTTTACTTGGAATAGCAAGAGTTAGCATCAAATAGAGGCATGGGGTGAGTGATTTGTTTATTTGATTGGGAGTGACGCTACCAAAATTGACTGGAACCGACATGGAATATTGATTAGGTACGCTGGAGGGTGACAACTGTATATAGACCGTATAGATTCCGTATGTAGACAAATTCATTCCCACATATCATATCAATCAATGGGAGGGCATGTGGCTCATCTGCCATGCGCCTTCCTCTTTTTAAGATGCCGGTGCCTCCCTTTATCTTGTATCCCTTTTTCCTTTTTACTTCTCCCTCCAAATTTCAAATCTCATTAGAATTAGTTCATCTTTTTTATTGAAAATATCTCACTGAGATTTTTAAACTCTATATCAAAGTCAAACATACTTCTTCTAAATGACATAGAAGATTATAATCATGAATAATATGACTAGGAAAAAATAAAAAGTGATTTCATAAAGGATCGTATATGGAAAACAGTTTTTTTAAAAAAAAAAATCCTAATGAATTAGTTCCATATTTCTGGGAGTTTGCTTGTCCTTTTTGGCATGTTGACATGCTTATTAATTAATGATTAACTTTTTTTGGCCAATCATATGTCGAAAAGAGATCTATTTCTTTGAACCTTTTTTTTGGGGGGGGGGGTTTGCCTAACATTTACCTGATGCGGTGAACACGGTGACAAAAAAAAAACGAAGAAGAAGTTTATCGTACATGAGCTGTACGTAATTTACAGAAATAACCAAACGCTGAAAAGAAGACAAGATAGGAGGCAAAGGCAGCCGGGCAGAAATTGCGAGGAAAGAAAGCGCAACTACATCTTCAAAGATGACATGTTAACTTCGAACAGTAGTTGAACGATTGGTGAAGCTCGCCGCGTGTCAAACGTGACCAGACTTTTTACTTCACTTTGCTTAAAATTGACGTGCTACGTAACTTTTTCATTTTTTTTAACCTTTGATATTTTTAATTTCATTGGATTATAAATAATTTGTAATTCAACGAAATTTTTTTAAAAAAAGCTATCACTTAACTTCATATTGCATGGCTCCATCTTCAATATTCATGATAAAATAATTTTTTACAGGGTATAAATAATTTGACTCTTATATTAATTTTTGTGCGATGAACAGAGAAACATGTTTAATCCTTATTATCTGAGAAAGGCACATATAAATTTCTCATTTCCCTTGCCGTCAAATTATTTTTTCACATATTTCATGACAAAATTTACAATAAATTATCATTTCATTTCTTAAAATACGGTTAGGTTGTCCCGTATCAGGATGCATGGATGGTCACATTACGCATGTAACTACACAATTTTTTATATTTTTTTAATTGAAGGTCAACATTTTTGGGAAAAAAATCAGAATGTAATAATTCTTTGAAAAAATAAAACGTCACATAAGTATTTACGGGGTAAAGGGAGAGTTTGTAATTTTACAAGGCCAGCAATGAATGAAATGGTGAGAGGCATTTGGAGTACAACCCATTTTCATTGCTGTAAGTTTGCAGCCACGACAAAGCTGCATGCACTATAGAAGCAAGAGTCGTGGTCGATCTCCTCAATTCATGTGTAATAATGGCTTTTTGCTGAGAAATCCTGAAGTAAACTTGATGCTGATAGTGACCTGACATTTGGTTTTTCATTTGATTTGGTGCTCCTGGTGTGAATGGTCAGAGAGGATTGTTGGGTCAATGTGGAACCACGCAGGTTAACCAAACCATATTATTTTATATGGATTGTGGAGTCTCCTTACGCGCCGACGGTTCAGAGGGCCATTGCTTGAACGGTTCCCAGTAGTTTCATTTAATTAAAATAAAGGTTCGGCTTATGATTCATTATTACTTAAACTGCAATGATCGAGTCGCGTTTATTTTTATCGGCACATGGCAAATTTCTAGAGAAGGCTTGAATTTGCAAGCAGCTTGCGTGAGAGCACATGACCATGAAATAATACCAACTGGTCATGTTCGGGCGCGATATATACTTCATAAATACGGACCACGTAATCAATGAGGGTTTATTTTAAATTAAATCACCAATCTTATTTTATTTTGCCCATGCCCAAAAGCTCGTTGACATCTGCCTTCATTACGAAGGGATGTAGTTTTCAACCAAAAGAAAAGGCAGAATTACTAATAATGCTACGGATAATTAATGCTATTCACATGTATCATCTCAATCACAGCATAAACAGAAATACAATTAAAAAAAAAAGATAAAAATGTGGAAGAGAGATACTCCCTCGAGTCCTTAATATGAGATCAAGATAACAAATTTTATGCTTATTAAGAAATGTTAATTATACCCTTAAAATTGTTAAAAAAATGTAACTTTTCAATTTTACTCTTGTTTATAATTAATTATTATAATAAATTATTGTTTAAGAACTCAAATAACAATAAATATAATGAGGATAAAATTGAAAAAAAAATGCATTAATTACTCTAATAAATTTGTTAAGGATTGGAGTAATATAGGTGAACCATACTTGTAAGAGGTAGTAGTAATTTAATTTATGAGTTTAAGAATCATGATTTATGAAATTTATTAAGGTGTGGTGAATGATGATTATTCTCACATTCAAGGTCTATAGTATTGAATTTTATCGAATTTATAATCATAAGGATGATGATGATTTAGTTTATTTTTATTTTTATTTTTATATCAATTATATTTTTATTATTTCTAACAACCAAATAGGGTTTGAGAGAGTTGTGAACTCGTGATGTTAATGTGGCATAAATAGACAAATTCAAATCTGATATGGCTATAGGCACTAGGTAGTTTCATATGGTCGTGTGTGGATCGGAAACACTTACCATGAAGGGAGCAAAGCAAGAACTCGTGGGAACACCATTAAGCAGACCACAAAGACATTGAAGCCTCATTTGGTACGATAAAAAATTTTTTAATAGAATCGAAATCGAAATTAAAATTAAAATTAAAATTAAAATTAAATAAAATTGAGTTTTAAAAGTGTGTTTGATATGTTAGAAAAAGTAGATAGAATCTTTATACTATTTTTATTTGGCTTGTAAGACATGAAAATAAAATTATATATAAAAGACAAAAATACCCTTAAAAATTAAAATTAATATATATATATATATATATTAAAAGCTTGATTGTGTTTTAATTTCCTCATGTATTTAGTATATAAATAAAATATTATATATAATAGTATATATATATAATACAAATATATTATATATATATATATATTATAATTTATATAAGGACTTTTACGCCCATAGTAACACCAGAATTTTTTTTTTAACCAAAAATAACACCAGAATAAAGAACACAAAAAAAAAAGTAGTTGGAAAAGAAAAAAGCTAACGATTAGAACTTAGCCGCTATTTTTTTTTTTTGTCGAAGTTAGCCACCACATTTTGAAGATTAGAAGCTTTTGGTGCACACAAGGCTCACACTCATGATTTAGAGGGCAAAGTTGTGAATTCAATTTTTTATGAGAATAAAATTATCTTGAAAAATAAGATTATATGAAATTGGTTCAGATTCCATAGCTTTAAGTAAGTAATTCAATTCAGGCTTTTTTTATAGAATTAAGATTTATGGGAGTTTTAATTCATATGTACCAAACATCTCTTTATTAAGATTCCTACCTCAATTTCATTTTCATTCTCAAGATTTAACTCTACCAAAGAGGGCTTGAGTTCATGGATCGGGGATAGATGAATTCATTCACTAATCTCATTCATGAGATCTTGGGATTTGGACTGCGGACTTGCGGTAGAAGGTTGCAATTAAATTTGGTGACGAGGTGTTCTCAGTATATACATAATTTTATGACAACTAATTAATAAAATTGAGAAAGATTTGGAAGGAAAGATTCAGTTGCTGAGACATAGGTTTCAGGATGGGATGGTTCACCATTCAAGGTGAAGCAGAAGGGGCTGAGCACGAGGCACTAACAAACAAGGACGACGTACCTTAATGAAGATGAATCCCCCAAAAAAGCCGTAGCAGTAACGCTAGCCTCTCCCTCGATGCCTCTTTCGTACTCTACTCTTCCTGTCACATTCCCTTTACCATCAAGAACTTGTTTGCTTCCTTTTCTCATTATTAGTTATTATCTTCCTTTGATCTTAGACAGGAATATTTAACGTATCTCTTGAGCCTATAATATCTATACCTAATAAGTCATAATTCATGAACAATGACTATATAATATTGTCAAAATTGAAGAGTTGAAACTGGGGAAGTAAGGCGTAATGAAGAGGGGAACAGATAGAGTGAGGAAAGTGTGAGCGAGAGAGATACATGTGGGAGTGTACAAGGTACATGGCCCCTTGTGGATGAATTTATGAAGGACAGAAGGAGCAATTGAGTATGGCGTACAATGAGGATGGAGAGAGTTGATCACACGGGACGAGGCTCCCATGATTGGGAATGCCAATCATGTCTTCAGTGTCAAAGGTGAACTGCACCCAATTCCTCCCGTCGTTTATTCTTCACTCTGCAGCCTGGCCACCTCCATTCTTCTACTCTCTATTCCCCCCCCCCCTTTCTTTTTTTCTATATTTTTTAAATATTTCCACCATCTTACTTACTCCCAGAAAGCGTGTTTGAAACCTCAATCTCCAATTATAAGCCAACTCATAGATCTCCTCTCTCCCAATTCAAACTTGAATCCCAATCTCTCTCTCTCTCTCTCTCTCACACACACACTCCCACACACGCGCACTCCTACGCCAATGCCAATTCCAAATCCCTCCTTCCTAATCTCTCTCTCCCTCTTGTTCTTCCTCTGTTTATCGTCCTCCGCCACCGTCAACAATGCTGAACGCGACCCTGCTTCTTTCACTCAACAGTTCAAAGAAGCTCCCCAGTTCTACAACTCCCCTGACTGCCAGTCTGCCGCCGACGCTGACGACTATACCTGCTCCGATGACGTCGTCCATATTGCCATGACCCTCGACACCACCTACATTCGAGGCTCCATGGCCGCCATCCTCTCCGTCCTCCAGCACTCTTCCTGCCCTCAAAATGTCTTCTTCCACTTCGTCTGTTCCTCCAAACCCTCCCTCCTCCGTTCGGCCATTTCCAATTCCTTCCCTTATCTTCAATTTCAGCTCTACAACTTCGACGATTCCACCGTCTCTGGCCTCATCTCTTCCTCCATTCGCTCCGCCCTTGATTGCCCTCTCAACTACGCTCGCAGTTACTTGGCCAACCTTCTTCCCCTGTGCGTCCGGCGAGTTGTGTACCTGGATTCCGACCTGCTTCTGGTGGACGACATTGCCAAACTCGCTGCCACGCCGCTGGGGGACAATTCAGTTCTGGCAGCCCCTGAATACTGCAACGCCAATTTCACGTCTTATTTCACTCCCACGTTTTGGTCTAATCCCTCTTTGTCACTCACCTTTGCGGACAGAAAGGCTTGCTATTTCAATACAGGGGTGATGGTCATTGATCTGGAGCGATGGCGAGCAGGGCATTACACGACGAAGATCGAGGAATGGATGGAACTGCAGAAGAGGATGAGAATCTACGAGCTGGGTTCGTTGCCTCCATTTCTGCTTGTCTTCGCCGGCAAGATAGCTCCAGTGGATCACCGGTGGAACCAGCACGGTCTCGGAGGAGACAACCTTCGCGGGCTCTGTAGAGATCTGCACCCTGGCCCTGTGAGTCTGTTGCATTGGAGTGGGAAAGGTAAGCCATGGGCTCGATTGGACGCCAACAGACCTTGCCCCTTGGATGCACTCTGGGCGCCGTACGATCTGTTGCAGACCCCATTTGCTTTAGATTCTTGAAGCTTGTTCTGTACTTTACAATCTACGTGGTTTGGATCGAGGGAGGATTGAACCAACAGTGCAAAAATGGTTGGTTTTTGTAGATCATGTAATGATGCACAGCACGGGTATGAACAACTCATCGGCCACAAGTTATGATGATGAGTGGTGTTCAACAGTTTTACGCCAAGGGATAAGTGTAGATGATTGGATCAAATAACAATGTATAGCAAAAGAGATATGCGTTTCACAGATGCCCAAATTCAGAAACTATTATTTTTCTTTTCAAAATTCTAATAAGGAAGAGCCTGTAAAGTTTTTGTATGAACAATGCCACGGCGCTCCCCTTCTTTACGGTCTCTTTTTTTTGGTAGCTGTGACAGAAACGATTCGATCTTGATTTCGTATTTCTTCCCGCGAATTACTTGTTCATACATAGGCAGCTTTATTCCAGGGATGAAGTGAGTTCTAAGCAAGGCCGTTAATTTAAAGTGTTAACAAGTCGGGTTGTTCTACAAAGAGCAGAATGAACGGAGCCCCCACTTTGACGAGGAAACACGCCCACGTAACGTAAGAGGGGACAGCCGACAGAGTCCTAAGGAAGTTAGATCAATTTAGCCCATTCAATTTTCATAACATCCGCACCATCTATTTGACCGAGTTTAATTAGGTAAATTTAGCAACACTTCTTTAAAACGAAAATGCCATACTGCTCAATTATCTCAACATTTTAGGTATATCGTAAAAATACAAATATTTCTTTCACCTTTTTGTGAATTTTTGCCCATAAAACTAAATATTTACACAGTATTCGTTCTCTTTAATTCAGAAAATATTTATTTTAGTCATGATGTCAAGAATAACATTAATCTCATGCAACAGTTTGACATGAACATTAGGGGCTGTTTGACTTGCATGATCTTAGATTTCCAAAAGTGGGATTTGAAAGAGGAATATTCCAACGAATATGACGTTCCACCTTCGTTTTATCATAAGTAATCTTGAAGGTACTATATTGTTTTAAGAAATTTGGTACTCTTTTCTCCATATTTAATTTGATGCATATTAATTGTTCAGAATAACGCATGATGATATGTTAATAATCATTCTGTAATTTATCGTTGGGCACAATTTTATAACTTATTTATTCTTTATGTATAAAACAACACATTCTTCCTTTCCGCCGTATCCTAAAAAAAAAAACCAGCATATTCGATCATCCTATATTCCTTTTTAAAATACATATTTTTTCTGTCTCAAATTATAAGATAGCTCTAAAGATATTTTGTTCTCTCAAAATATAAAATAATTTAAAAAAATAATATTTGATTAATAGAATACATTTTCTGTAATTTATCGTACAATTTTATAACTTATTTATTCTTTATGTATAAAACAATGCCGTATCCTAAAAATATTCGATCCTATATTCCTTTTTAAAATAATATTTTTTCTGTCTCATAGCTCTAAAGATAACTCTCATTAAAAAATAATATTTTATTAATAATACTTTTCAATATTACTCTTCAAATGAAAAAATAATTAATATTATAATGTAACGATTAAGTGTGTAGGGCATTTTTAAAGGTTTATAAAAAAAAAATTATAAAATATTATTATTGAATTTTATTGATATACGTAATCTTATTTTAAATTTTAAATTATTTTTTAATTTAAAATGAATGAAGTATTATTATTTTTTATTTTCATGTCATAGTGCAGTATATATGAAAATCGTTTTAGAATAAAAAAGAGCATACATAAATAACCTCTTATTATTTCTGAAATATTCTTTGAATTCTGGGCAACACGTATTTCCACACATTCTATATAGGGCGAAGATGAACTTTTCGAAGCCGTGCACGCACAGTGACGAACCAAGAGGTGGGAGGCGCAGAGCGAGGGACCTAGCTCTCAGCATGAACAGTGCATTTAAAGCCATAAAAATCTTGTTCACACCTTTTCTACCCATTTTTTTGCCATCCAGGACCTCCGTTGATTCTCCCAACATCTTCATCATTTCCACTTTCTACCTTAGCATTAGTAACTCCTAGCACAGTCAAAGTAAATTATCATTCAATTTCAATGTTACGTTATTCATGCCAGGGAAGTTTCATCCTGGGATGCTACTTGTGAGAGTGGAGAGCCGTGGGTTTGCATTATATTCTCTCTGTCTCTATATAAAAAATATTTTTAATTAAATTATATAAAATAATAAAATTTAATTATTTAATTTAAAGTACAGTAACATTTTAATTTTTTCTCTAATTATTATAAATAAAAAATAAATATTTTTTAAAATAAATTAATAAGCATACTTATATTTTTCTCCTTTCAATTTAATAAGAATATAATAATTTATTTTTTTAAAAAAATCTGAACAATACTGCCACCCGGCAATTACAACTTTATGATTTACAAAAGCAAAACTATAAGTGAAAAATAAAATTTTAAAAGCAAAAGTACTAATTGAGTCCTCCTGGTATCAGATTATTCTTTTCTGCATTTTTGTGTTTGGTAGACAAGATGTTGCTGGAAAGCAGTTAATTGGAGAAAGCATTTGACGTGATTATTATTATTTTTTTATGTGTTCCATCACGATAATAACTAGCCTTTTATTGATGATTTTTAAGATTTTAAAAATTTTTATATAATTAATAACTATTGCTCTTCACAAGTGCATGAATCATGATAAATAATATAATAAAAATAAAGTATCATTCTCTTGATAATTTATTTAAAAACAACAATCAAACAAAAGACTAGATGAGTTTAACCAGATTGAGTCAAAACATAATTAGGTGAAAATAATACTATAAACTAAATTAATGCTAAACAATAAAGAAAATCAATTAATTCACAAACTTCAAGCATAAATTGAGATCTAAAATTATTTATCCTTCTTGTATTTTATAATACTAAAATTACCTCCTCTCATAAATGATTTTAATGAAAATAAGCGTTAACCTGAAGTTATAAAAATACGTGGACAAGCTCTTTCAAGTTATAAACAAGTGTTTAGTCAAATTAATTACTTAATCTTTTGTTGCAATTAATAAATCTCAATTTCAAACGCTAACCCTAATGTAGTTATACAAGACTAATAAGTATATCTCTATCTTACTAATAAAACTATTCATTCAACAAGTAAACTTCAAGTTCTTGCATTATTACCCAAATTTCACATTCAACCTAGCTCCATCAAACATTAATCATATGAACCCAATATCTAAATGATGGCCAATTATTTAAAAGCATTAAGAAAAGAGTAAAATAAACACATATATATCATTAATCACAAAAAGAGATAAGAAACTTAGTGTTAATCCATACAAAGATTCAAAATAATCCTAGAGCAAGAAATTTAACTACCCATAAACATCAAACACTATAAAAAAAGATAGACTTTTGACTGCGATTTTTCACTACTAAAAAGTTGTCACTATAACAGTTATTGCTAATAATTTTTTATGGCAACAAATATTATCACCACAAAAAGTATGTTTTTAGTGGCCACAAATGTCACCGTTAAAGATTTTTTGGTGTCAACAAATGTTGTTGCTAAAAAGATTTTTAGTGACGACAGAAACTTTTTTTAGAAAATAATAATTTATTTTATATTAAATCACTCTGCCAAGTATGCATCACGTGATGCCACGTCACCTGCCATACAGGTCACTTGTGTACGACAAATGATGTACGTCACTTGCCATCTTGTGCCACGTCACAGGCCACGTGTTTGACAGATGATGTCATGTCACCTCACCACCTCATGCCATGTCACACGCCACGTGTGTACCTCCTCAAGCCACCTCATGTGCTACACCGTCATCTCGTGGCAAGTTACCTGCCATGTGTATGCCTTCTCAAGCCACCTCATGCACCACATCACCACCATGTGTTCACGTGTCACATGTGTACCTCCTTAAGCTATCTCATGTGCCATGTTAATACCACGCGCCATGTCACATATTTGTTGCAAAATATGACAAAGTCAAAATTTGAATCCTTAACCTCTCCCACCTCTAAGTCTTAAGCATTCTTTTTTTACCAGTTGAACTAAAATATACCTGCAATTATTATATGTGAAATCAAATTTATGCTAAGTAATTGCATACACATATATCAAATAATATATTATTAAAAAGATATATATATATATATATATATTATATTTTATCTTTAATTATTAATACGATAAAATGATTTATATGTATGTGTGTAAACAAAATGATCTCATTTCAAATTTATTTCTATCCATGAGATTAGGAAGAAAAACAAACAGCCACTCACCCCAATAACCCAACCACATACATATACGAACAGGGACATATCTATAATAGCACCGAGGGATAATTCTTTATATCACACATGTCATTTTATCCATAATCACTTTGGGATTAAATAATCTAATATTTTAATCCAAAGTTAACTGAAATTTTATTCATAATCTCTTTGGGGAAAACAAACATGTACACAAGTGCATACCTGTAAATGAGTTGGTGCTCAAATATAATTCTTTCAAAGATGTGCAGTTACTTATTGATTTTGAAATGCTTCCCTTTAAATAATTATCATGAACATCCAATATTTCCAGCAAAAAGAGTTGATGACACATTTCTTAAAGCAATTTGCCATTTAAATGATTCCTTCCAAAGTAAACCTCTCTCAAAGAAGGCATGTTCTATAGAAATGAAGGAATTTAACCTAATTTTTTTTAAAAAAATCAATTTGTTTGATAGTTAAGACAAACAAGCTTATACTTAAGGAATGAAAATATCCCCAATCGAAACTTTTGGAGGCAGTATAAAATAAGCATTGCGTTTATCACCCACGCAAACCTGGATAAATAATGTACAAAATTTCCTTGAAAACATATAACGAAGCAAGGGGTGCATTCACCACAAATTTAATTTATTATTTAGTCCCTCTCACTCTATTTATAAATTATTTTTAACATATTTTTTTTAAATGATGAAAGGTTATCATCTTTGGCTTTAGTCTAGGCTATTTTTATCTTCAATATCTTGTATCACTATTTCATTCAAAAACAATTAATATCTTTATAATTTTGATTTTATTGTATATACATATATAAAAACTTTAATAATGTATTTTCTTTATCACCAACATTTAATGGGAGTAAAATAAAAAAAATTAATAAAAAGTTGATAACATGACTTATAAACAATGCCAAAAAAAAAACTTTTCATCATCTGCCTTATAAATAGAATTGAATGGAGTATTATTCATCATGAACTATTCAATACTCCCTCAGTTAAAAAATATGAGATGTTTTACTGAGGTTAGATGCTAAAAAATATTGTGCATTTTTTATTTTTATCAATATGTAATTAAT